TGGCTAGTCGGTTAAGCGGCCGACTTCAGCTCAGGTCATGAACTCACAGTTTGTGAGTTTGAGCCCCACGTTGGGCTTTGTGCTGACAACTCAGAGCCTGGAGCCTGCTTCCCGTTTTCTGTGTCTCCTTCTCTCTCTGACCCTCCCCGGCTCACACTCTGTGTGTCTCTCTCTCAAAAAAAATAAACATTAAAAAAAATTTTTTTTTTTTTTTAAAGAAACTGCAACCATTCAACCCAGCAACTCCACTTCGTAATAACCTACTCTGGAGAAGCAACAGAGGTATGTATATTCTTGACAGCATGGTTTGTTACAGAAAAAAAAATTGGAAATATCCCAGATGCCCAGTATTAGAGCAGGAAGTACTGAACTGTGCTATAAATCATATGAAATACTATACAGCTGTTAAAATGAATAAATCGGATCTTTATGTATCAACATGAATAGATCCCCAAAACATAACACAGAGTAAAAAATTCTAAATACATAAAACACAGGGCGCCTGGCTAACTCAGTCAACCAATCCTGGGGTTGTAAGTTTGAGCTGCATGTTGGATGTAGAGATTACTTAAAAATAAACTATTTAGGGGCACCTGGGTGGCTCAGTCAGCTAAGCATCCGACTTCAGCCCAGGTCAGCCCAGGTCGAGATCTCAAAGGCCAGTGAGTTCGGGCCCGCCCTCGGGCTTTGTGTTGACGGCTCTGAGCTGGGAGCCTGCTTCAGATTCTTTGTCTCCCTCCCTCTCTGCCCCCCCCACCCCACCAACCCTCCCCCCCCCTCTGTCTCTCTTTCAAAAATAAATAAACATTTAAAACAATGTTTCTAATAAATAAAATAAAGTCTTAAAAAAACACACAAAACATTACATTTTGTGCATGGATACAAATACATACAGTAGGAAATTATAAAAGCCTGGAGAGGCAGAACACACATTATGATCTTAACTGATGTTACTTCTGGGGACTGAAGGGAATGAGACTAGGAAATAGAAAGTAGTTTTAGGCCTGTTATGCTTTTTATTTTACTTTAAAAAGATAAGCAAAAATGGAAAACATAAACATTCTGAGAGGCGAGTTATAATCTGATTATATTATACTTTCTTTAATAAAACTTTTGTTATATTACATATTCAGAGTATATGTACACTCTGATGCTTGTCACATTAGTCTTTGCAATTTGGGCGCTTTTTTTCAATTTCTTAAAGAGTCAATTAAACCTCTTCCCATCTACCCACCCCACCCAAAGTTACACTTAACCAAATGGGAAAGGCATACAAACAGGAAAAGAGCCCAGAGGAAAGAAACACCCACGTTGGCAAAAACCGCAAAGCTAGTTGAAAACGCTCAGACAGCCTGCTTTACACAGTTAAACAGTCATGCTTGAAAAACAAAACACCGAAAACCCAAAAACCTGAATTAATGAAAGGTCGTACTTTATGCAGCTACTTCACAACACAAGTGGCTAGTTAAGAAACCATGCAGAAGGATCTGGATTCCACAAGAACTCTGCCAGCTACCTGCTGTGTGACCTTCAGTAAATCTCTAAAGAGGTCTGGGCCTGAGTTCCTTTACATTAAGATGAGATTTTTTTTTTAATTTTTTTTGATAGTTTATTTTTGAGACAGAGAGAGACAGAGCATGAGCAGGGGAGGGGCAGAGAGAGAGGAAGACACAGAATCTGAAACAGGCTCCAGGCTCTGGGCTGTTAGCACAGAGCCTGATGCGGGGCTCGAACCCATGAACCATGAGATCTGACCCGAGCCAAAGTCGGACGCTTAACCAACTGAGCCACGCAGGCGCCCCAAGATGAGATTTATAATACCTATCTCAGGAGATAAAGAGTCTCTTGGATACCATCTCTAAAGTGCTTGATACATAGCATTTTGTTCACTAACTGGTAGTTATTGTTTGCGTCAGAACTGGGATTAGAACTCCAGTGTGGGCATATATTTTAGCAAAGCAAAATAGAAATCTCCAAACTGATGCACCAAAACAAATAAATACCAAACACTGAAGCAAGCCCTGTTGACAACCATGTATTGCTAAAAAGAAATAGAAAGATGACAGCTACAGAATAGATAGGAGAAATCCTACCTATGAATATAAAAGAAATTTTATATAAAGAAATATAAAGGAAGTTTGCTAAGTCCAGCAAAAGGCAAGCTGTCCTCAGGCAGAGAACAGTAATGGTAAGTTCAATATGAATATCGGTTGGTCAACAGATCCCATTAACCTGTAATCCACAAAGAAAGTCCTTAGACTCCCGTATGTCAAGTTTTAGAAGATTTTATGACTTTTCTAAGGGGGGGGGGGATTTTTAAAACATATTTCGGGAAAAAACGTACTTTCTAGGTTTTGAGTCCAAAAAAATTCTCCCGAGTCCCATTATAAGAACATAATACATTTAAATGGATTAAAAATTTTTAACTCTCCTATTGAAGTGATGAAAAAGGAAATAAAAAAATACAACTAGACCAATAAACGTAGTAAGAATTCATCGCTTCACTAATGAATTTAAACATGAGTTTAAGATCGTCTTGATGTTTTAAACCACACACACACACACACACACACACCACAAATACCAGAATAATATTCATAAAACAAAAAACTAAAGTTTCTAAAAAAAAAAAAAACTAAACCACTAAAGTTTCTAAACATATTGTGTGTAAGAAATTGAAAGTTGCTAAATATATTGGATACGCAACATATTTAAACAATTATGAATTGTCTCCATAGGTTTTTTTCCTGAAAATCAAGTCCTATTATAAGACAATCACGGAAATTTGAACACCAACTGGATATTAAAGTACATTAAAATTGTAACTAAAAAATTATAATTGTTTTACTGAGGGTATGTGAATAAAATAGAGTCCCTATCCTTCAGAGATACTAAAGAATTTAAGAAATAAGATGTTGGAGCTGGGGACAGGGATGGAGGGGTGAAATAAATGAAATAAGACTGTCCATATTTTGAAAACTGTTGAATTGAAATGATGGGCACATGACAGTTCATTATTCCCTTTTCTCTACTTCAGTATATTTTGAAAATATCCAGAGTAAAGAATTAGAAGAGAAATATGTATTTAAAACTAAAAGCCAACGCTAGGTGAAGAATTTCTAGTAACAAAACAGAAAAGCACCAAAAAAAAAAAAAAAAAAAGATAACGAGGCCTTACAACTCCTTGTTATTCAGTATAGTGCTAGAACGTTCTTTCCCTTTCTATCTTCTACCCTCTGCCCTCCTTTCCTCCTCCCAGATTTCCTGGGTTACTGTGACTTGGAGGACTCCCTTTATACCCACTCATAATTTACCTAAACTTAGAAACATACTTGCAAATAGGTGTCTCACAACCAATTCAATAATTTTTTTTTAATTTTTTAAAATGTTTTTTTATTTATTTCTAGGAGAGAGAGAGAGACAGCGTGAGCAGGGGAGGGTCAGAGAGAGAGGGAGTCACAGACCGAAACAGGGTCCAGACTGAGCCGGCAGTCAGCACAGAGCCCGAGGCGGGGCTCGAACCCACAAACCGCGAGATCATGACCTAAGCGAAAGTCGGACGCTTAACCGACTAAGCCACCCAGGCGCCCCTCAATAATTTTTTTTAATAGGGGGACACATTCAACACTCTTTAAAAATTTTTACCATTTTGTCCTCCACAAACTTTTTAAAAAACATTATCCCATCTACCTCATCCATTTAAAACGCCCTTCTTTGGTTTGCTTTTACTACACATATACTGGGGGTGAGTGATCTAAAGTTTTTTTTTCCTAAAAAGTACAAGATCAAAAGATTGATGGCCACCATTTTGGACACCAAGACATCACTTCAAGGTTTTTAAGGAGCCAAGCGTGAGAAGTAGTGCCTCAAGAAAAACTGAGAAGTGACCAGAGACACAAAAGGCTGGGAGAAAGACTATGATCATTCGCCAATTGAACAGACATTCAATAGGAAGTGGTATGGGATGGAACCGGGCAGGAAGGGGACAGAAGTTCAAGAAAAAGGCTTGGTGACTGAGGTGTTATGAAAGGCGAAGAAGGGGTTGGGGCAGCGTCAGAGACGCTCCCCTGGAGGAAGGAAGAGGAGAGTGACGGATGGGCAGCATATTCAGGTACTGATGAGGTGAAGAACCCAGATGAAGCAGGAAGGCCCATGTACCTATGGAAGCCATCTTTGGAGATGTGACAGCTGAACCCCAGGGGCTGAGCTCACTTAGGGAGAGACCGGGAAGACAGGTCTCAGGGCATAACCCAAACCTCGGGGCACACTCTATTTAGGAGGCAAAAAAAACCGAACAAGGGGAAACCCCGAAGCAGCTGCCTGAGAGATAAGCCGCACTATTTCCAAGTGGTCCCTAGAGTGGGCGGTCACCAGTTTGGGCCACCAGGGAGACCTTGGCGCAGGAGCCCTGGGGGAGGACGCCGCGACATCGGGTAGCCCTGAGGAGGCCCGTTCAGGGCAGGCGGTGCGCACTAGCTTCGGAGATCAGAAAAGGGACCAGGAGGGGCACGGAGGGGACAAGGAACCGACGGCCAAGCGGAGGGCCAGCTCGCTGCGGTGGAGACGGATCCCGGTGCGGGGGGCGCCACCACGCCTAGGGCCGAAGACGGCGCCGAGGGAAAGACTCAAGATTCCAGGCAGTGGGGGCGTTTTCCTTCGTTCCCAAACCTGCCTCCCAAAGCTCTAGACCCAGGTTCGCCCCAAAATACTATATCCCTGGGGGGGGGTGGGGGTGAGGAGTTCAGCGCCGTCTTCCCCGGGGCTAAAACGGGCTGGCCAGATCTTTCTTTCCAGGAAAGGTCTGGAGGCGCTGGACAGAGGGGAACCGCCACCAGCATAAGTACTGGCGGAGCAGGGGCTCTCCCAGGGGAGCAGAGGGGCGGGACGCTGAGGCGGGGGCGGTCGGGTACGAGGTCCGCGCGGGTCGCGGAGCAGCCTCCCCCGACGGTGCTCGCCGACCGGGGCCTGAGGAAGCCGCCCCTTCCTCTCCGTGCACTCACCGCTCCGACTGCGAATAGCGGCACCGGCCCAGCAGGTTGAGCTTGCAGAGGTGCAGGTCTTCGCACGGCCTCTGGCAGTACTTGCGACGGCACACCCGGGCTCGGGTGGTGGCCACCACGAACCCGGTGCCCCTGGTCTTGTCGCCGGTCCCCAACACCACGAAGCGGTCGGGCCCCGCCGCCTCCAGCACTTCGCGGAGCTGCGCCTCAGAGAGCGCGATCTTTTCGAGCAGCGCGCCCAGGGCCATGCGGCCGCCGTGGGCGCACAGGATTTTGGTGATGAAGCAGCACACCTCCGGGTCCGCCATGGCGCGCTGCGCTGGCCGGCCGCGGCGCGGGACTCCGCTCCCGGGAGAATCGAAACTTAAACGAGCCCCGGGGGCGGAGGGCGGGGGCAGGCGGCGCCGCGCGGGGCGCGCCCCGGGCCCGGCGAGCGCGCGCTCCTCGCCGCCGTTTGCTGAGCCCGGCGGTTTCGCTTTCCCGCTCGGCCCCGGGTCCGGAGGCCGGAGCTCCCCCGACCAGATCCCGCGTGTGGGACTGAAAGTCCACCGCGACGGCAGCCGAAGGGAAAGAAAGCGAAGCGCGCGTGCAGATCTGCCGGCGACTTCCGCAACCGCCGGACCGCTTCGCCGGGTTCTTGGCTCCGCGACGGTGACGTTCCCCAGCTGGGCACGGCGAGGCTTCTTCCGAAAGAAGAGAAACTAAAAATGATCCGGGGCCCCGGGGGACTGCTTTATAAGCCAGCCCAAGTGGCGAATGACGCGAGTCTTCGGAGCCCCCTGGAGGAGTTCTGTGTTCTCTCCACCGCACCCTTTCCGGGAAAAGGACCGACCCTGGCGAGCGCCCGCCCGAAGCCGGGCGCCCGGCCTCCGCCCTTGGCGAATCTTCTCATCAACTCCAAGGGTTAGGTGCCATTACCCTCATTCTGTACTTGAGGAAGGAAGTAACTTGAGTAAACGCAAGCATTAAGCTGAAACCTGGACGTACCCGAGGTTCCAGATCGTGGTCCACCTGGCCAGGACCCATGTGCACTTACTCCCCCCCCAGCACCATGCCCTCTTAAAGAACAGCAATTATTGCTCGCCCTCTTTTTTGCCTTCCCAAGAGGTTGTTTGAAGAAACCCTCCTTGACCCTGTCTTGCCAGCCTATGACCGGCAACAAGGGTGTCCCAGGTGCCCCAACAACAAACGGTGACAGAGAGGCATGCTTAGACAAATGCCGAGATTTCAGATAGGTTCCTCCTCTCTTTGTGCATTTAGACAAGGCCTTATCCCTTGTGGAGACCCTCTTTGGACCTCCAGAGTTCGGCATAAAGATTATTTTAAAGTGAAAACATTCGGGCTACAGAAGATGCAGAATGAAATTTTGTCTGAAATTCTCTGAGATCTGATCTGAAAGATACAGCTACCATTAACCCCCTTCCAAGGGAGCTTCCGATAATTCAACTACCGGGTGGAGACAGGCTGCCCCTTCCATTAGCATCAAAAAGCCCAATGCAACCTTCCTTACTCTCCCATTGAAGCCCTAAAATAAACTCTTTTGTTAAATTGAGATAGATAAACTTCAGCTATTCCAGGACTTTTCCATTACTGGGAGTTCCCTCCAGCTCCCAGTGTGAAAATAAACCTTGTCTTTCCCCCTGTTAATCTGTCTATTGTCAATTAATTTGCATATCCCCAACCTCTGTATCCTACTTGGAAGAAGAAAAAGGTTTTCCTTCCAACACTCCCAAGTAAAAAACAAACAAACAAAAAAAAGGGCATTGATTAGATAGGAAATAAACCTTTTTTAAAAAAAATTATAGAATTCATGGGTGCCTGGGTGGCTCAGTCGGTTAAGCATCCGACTTCAGCTCAGATCATGATCTCACGGTTTGTGAGTTGGAACCTTGAATCGGGCCCTGTGCTGACAGCCCTGGAGCCTGGGGCCTGCCTCAGATTCTGTGTCTCCCTCTCTCCGTGTCTCTCTCTCTCTCTCTCTCTCTCTCCCTCTCAAAAATAAACATCAAAAAAAATTTATAGAATTCAGTTGTCAACTTAGGAAATTCTTCAGAATGGGGGTGCCTAGCTGGCTCAGTCAGAGGAGCATGTGATCTGGATCTCGGGTCACGAGGTCTAACCCCACCTTGTACATACATACACACGGACAATTTTTTTTTTTTAATGGTTTATTTATTTCCAGGAGAGAGAGAGAGACAGTGTGAGCAGGGGAGGGACAGAGAGAGGGGGAGTCACAGACTCTGAAACAGGCTCCAGGCTCTGAGCTGGCAGTCAGCACAGAGCCCGACGCGGGGCTCGAACCCACGAACCGCGAGATCATGACCTAAGCGAAAGTCGGACGCTTAACCGACTAAGCCACCCAGGCGCCCCACACACGGACAATTTTTAAAAGAAGAAATTCTTCAAAAAGATCAGCCAAAATTCTTAGTTTGGTAATTTATGGTAGATGAGCTGTGTCCTTCAGGAATAGAGTACTTTGGCATAAAAGCCAGCCAAACATGGGGCCCACACGGGTTCATCTGGCTTCTTGTTCCCTCTAGCTATCACTTCCATAATTGTCTTTAATCCACTTGGTCTTTTTTGTGTTCTAACAGGTTCCCAGGAGTGGGTTTTCATTATCAAATAAATTCAACATAGTATTTTCCATGGGGCCCTTACATTAGTTAGTCTCTCTCTCTCTCTGAACATACAAAAGTTAAAAAAAAAAAAAATCGGTCCCTGCTGCCAAGCAACTTGTATTTGAGAAGACATGAAAAAATATTAAAATATAAGGGAATCAGTGGCTAAATGCTGCAATGGGCATGTAGGAGAATGGAGAAGGGAAGAGTAAAGTTTGGCAAGAATGGTTGGGAATAGAGGTCTAGAATTCTCAATTCAAATCCATGAAAAACAATATAAGGGAATGTGGGAAGGGAAAAGGCAGCCATTTGGGGAGATTTTTAAATTTGTGCTGTCACGGATTGTATCCCCCTGATAAGGAGTTAGAATGTTAAGGCGATTCCCTGGGGTGTAACACTGGAGAAAGTCAAGGGAAGAAGTAGAATTGGTCTATGGGAGCTGTCAGACACTGATACACATCGGACTCCTGGGCAGCAGGAGTGAAATGTTGCAGGATTTTTTTTTTTTTACCTCAATACCTGGGATTTATTGTCTAGCTGCTTCTAAGAATGAAGAAATGGACACAAAATGAGCAGCAGGCAAAAGTTTATTAGAGTGTAAGACTAGAGAGCAAGCATAGTATGAAAGCTCTCTTTGCAGAGAGGGGACGTTTGAAAGTGAATGCCCAGGACAATAGGCAAGGGTCCTTGTTTTCTAAGGTTCTGGGCTTGCCCGTTTTCCCTTCCCTCTTGTTTCTTCTCAGGTTTTACCCTTCTTGGCTTGACTACTCTGGGTGCTGGCTTGTCCATTCCTGATTGGCTCGTTTCCATTGTGTGAGGGGTGGCCTATGGCCATATCATTCCTTGTGGGTCAGGCCTTTTATGGTCTACTTATTTTCGGTCAGGTCTTTTTTGTCAAATTCCCAAGGGAAACCTGAGGGGGAGTAGGTGGTATCTGTTACATTCTTAAGAGGAACCTTATGCCCGAAGGGGTTTGCTGTGGTCGGACACTCCCAGCATTGTTCCAAATACGTGTTTTTCCCCATCCAGGAACCTCAGGTCCTAATCTTTCCCTCTCTGCCTATTTTATCCTCTTTTTCCCTATCATACTAACATGGACAGAAAAGCCTAAGCCCTTGTACCACCGCCCCGCTCAGTCATGGCAGAGGGCCGCTGGAGAAGTGCACGACTTGAGCACAAACACTGGGACAGATTCTGGGGCGCCTGGGTGGCTTAGTCGGTTAAGCATCCGACTTTCGCTTAGGTCATGATCTCACGGTTCGTGGGTTCGAGCCCCGCGTCGGGCTCTGTGCTGACTGCCAGCTCGGAGCCTGGAGCCTGTTTCAGTCTGTGACTCCCTCTCTCTCTGACCCTCCCCTGTTCACGCTGTCTGTCTCTCTCTCTCCGAGAAATGAATAAAAAAAGCTTAGAAAAAGTTTTTTTAAAAAAAGGAAGTGCGGAGACAGAGCGATCTAGGTTAAAGAATATAAAAGTCCAGTTTCTTCANAAGGAGCTAAAGCTAGAAGCTATCAGCTAAACACATCTCCTTGCAGTTGGGCAGCAAGCCCTGGCTTGAAGGGAGTCTGAGTGACACACACTTGTCAGCTAGAGTCAACCTGTGTGCCACATGGATCTATTTGTCCATCCATATTCAGGGAATAGCTCCTTTAGGCTTCATGGGCCACTCTTCCTGTAAAGAAACATAGAAGAGGGAAATTAATGGAATGAACTCTAGCCCCTGTCACTGCAGTTGGCTGCAAGGCCACAACTAGCCGTCATCAGAGCCCTCCACCACAGGGATGGCTGGTGGCTCAATAGCTTAACTGCTCAACTCTTGATCTTGGCTCAGGTCATGATTTCACAATTCGTGAGTTTGAGCCCCTGGTCGAGCTCTGAATCCAGCTCCGCACTGACAGCATGGAGCCTGTTTGGGATTCCCTCTCTCTCTGTCTCTCTCTCTCTCTGTCTCTCTCCCTCTCTGCCCCTCCTCCATTCAAACATGTGTGTGTGTGTGTGTGTGTGTGTGTGTGTGTGTATGTTTTCTCTCTCTCTCTCAAAGTAAATAAACAAACATTTAAAAAATTTAAGGAGCACCTGCGTGGCTCAGTCAGTTGAGCATCTAACTCCTGATTTCCTCTCAGGTCATGATCTATCTCATGGTTCATGGGTTCAAGCCTCACATCAGGCTCCACACTGACAGCGCTGAGCCTGCTTAGGATTCTCTCTCTGTGTCTCGAAAATAAATAAACTTTTTTTAAAAAGTTAAAAAATTGTTTTAAAAAGAGTCCAGATGTTAATCTCAGCTCAGGTTTTGAACTTGGGGTCATGATCAAGCCCCACACTGGGCAGGAAGCCTGCTAAAAAATAAATAAATGAATAAATAAATAAATAAATAAATACCTTCTACCACAATCCATTCTAATTCTCCTCATCCTCAGCTACTACCTTAACTGGTCTAAGTAGCTTCCCTGAGTGAACACCCCAAATCCCAGTACCTAAGGGGTCTGAGCACCTTCCCAGGTCATGGCTGTAGCTCTTGTCTTCATTCACAGTCACGGTTGGACATGAATACCAACTGACACTCAAAGAAGTCACCAGAGTCCATACATAGTCTACCTTGTTCCCACTATCTAACAGCTGCCGTAGCTCCGCATGCAGATGGGGTCAATTATGTCTGATAAGGCAGGAATTCCTTGTCTTAACCTGCTAGTGTCTGACCATTAGGAGGCCAAAGTGCTTGGCAGTAACCATAACATGTAGTCCAATGGGAACTTTGCTGTGTGCCTTTTGGGGGCCAAGACCTCCAACTCTGTAGAGCCCAGAGTGATACAGACAGAGAAGCCCAGTGGGTCATTGGAATGCTGCTAACTATGGCTCCTCATGCTTCTACTTACTTGCTTCGCAACCCATGGATTCTTTCTATTGGGGACATAGCATCATACTAAGTTGTCTGATTGAAGGCATACACCATGATGTCCTGGGGGAAATGTCATCATTGCAGTGTACTCCTTTCATGCTGGAGTTTCAGCTGCATCTTTAATTGGCTATTCCAATACTTTATCTATCCAGCAGCTTTTATGTTGGTGAGGTGTGTAATATGACCAATGAGTCTTGTTCATAGGCCCACACCCCAACTTCCTGTGCCACCAAGACTGTCTTTTGTTTAGATCCTGTGCTACATGGGATTCCATATCTGTGGATCAGGTGATATTTAATTAACCCCCAGAGAATGGTGCTACTAAGACCCTGCAGGCCGGAAAGGTAAATAAATCTATATTTGGAATGAGTGTCTATTCCTACGCGAGCAAACTGCTGGCCCTTTGAAAAGGGGCCCGAGGTAGTCGCCGCCAGGTCTTCAAGTAACCTATTGGTCTCCTTAAGGAATACAGTTTAGCATTGATCTTTAGGGCCAACAGATTAGACATTCAGTGGTGGCAGTAGCTATACAGTAAAACCTTGGTTTGCGAGCATAGATGGTTCCAAAAACATGCTTGTAATCCAAAGCACTTATATATCAAGGCAAATTTCAAGAACCATTGACTCAATTGTGATCATGTGGCACTCAGAGTCACATAGTACTCATATAACAAGACATCGCTCGTGTATCAAGTTAATATTTATGGGAAATGTTTGCTTGTCTTATGAAACAAGTTACTTGCAATCCGAGGTTTTATTGTATTCATTCTGATAAACAATAATCCATGCTGGTAGGTTTTTGCATTGCCTCTATCTCTGTCACCATAGCCTCTTTGTTCCGGGACCCATATGCAGGAGTGAGGGGAGAGGGTGCTCTGACAAAAGCTGCCTACATTAATTGGCCAAATTATTTTGTCTAGGTGGCACATCTTTTGTATTAGGTACTTATTAGTGGGCCTTAACATGTGATACAAACAACTTCCCATTCGTGTCCTCTCCTATATGTTCATCCACATGCCTCTAGTCTAGACTTTCCCATACCTGATTTTCCATTGCTTTTGTTTCAGGTCCTCCACCCACCAGCCAAGTCACTGATCAGGAGCACATGTATGTTCTAACTTTGGGCCATTCTCCTTCCACACAAAGTGGATGGCCCAGTGCACATCTCAAATCTCCTCCCACTGCAGAGATCTCCTTCACCACTGCTTTCCAAGATGATAGCCACCATCCATTTTCAGCTTGTACTAGGGTGACTCATTCCTACCCCCAATTTGGGCTTTCCCCTTCTTCCTTTAGCTGGTTATTGTGGGGCCCTCTCGTATGGTCTTAGGAATAAGCTAGAGCTGGGGTTCCAATGTAACCATAATGAATGACATGGAGATGTGGGCTATGTATTCAGGCAGCTTGCCTGTACCTTCTGGGCTTGCTTATGCTCAGTATCAGATGGACCGGTTTCATCTTATGATGGCTATAATGCTAGGCCTATCTGACTTTATGGCTTGATATGTCCAACAGGGCCTAGCTCATGATGGCCCGTTCTGAACCCACAATCATTTGTTTTCTCTACCAAGGCCCAGTAGCAAGCTAGGAGCTGCTTTTCAGAAGGAGTGTAATTCTTCACCACAGTTGGTATAACCTGTTCCATAATCCCAGGGGGTCTACATTGTGATCTCCTGGGACGTGCAATAAATGTCACTTATTCCATCACTGACGCCTCCAACACTGTAGGTTCTGCTAGATTATACAATCTGAATAGAAGGCCTGTTTGTATCACAGCCTGGACCCACTGCAGAGCTCCTTCCGGCTCTGGGCCCACTCAAAGCCAACAGCTTTCCACGTAACCCAGTATGTGGACCGCAGGAGCATCCTGAGGTATGGAATGTGTCTCCTCAAGAACCCAAAGATTCCTGGGGCGCCTGGGTGGCTTAGTCAGTTAAGCTTCCAACTTTTGCTTAGGTCATGATCTCGCGGTTCATGGGTTTGAGCCCCGTGTCGGGCTCTGTGATGACTACCAGCTCGGAGCCTGGAGCCTGTTTCGGAGTCTGTGACTCCCTCTCTTTCTAACCCTCCCCTGCTCACACTGTCTCTCTCTCTCTCTCTCTTAGAAATAAAAAAAAAAAAAAATTAAAAAAAGAACCCAAAGATTCCTAACAGGCTTTGTGTTTTGTTTTGATTTTTTCCAGGAAGGGATAGGAGATGCAGCAACTTGTCTTTTACTTAGGAGGAAATGTCCCAGCATGCTGCTGATCATCAGGTCTCTAAAATCTTTGGGGAACAGGCCGGTCACCAAATCTTTGTAGGACTTATCTCCCACTCTCTGGAGTGGGTATGTCATGCCAAACCTCTAGCACACTCTCCGCCTTTTCCTCATCCTGCCTGAGTAGTACAATGTCATCCATGTAATGGGTCAATGTGATTTTACATGGGAGGTCCAAATGCTCTGGTTCTCTTCAGACTATATTACAACAGAGGACTGAAGAGTGAACGTAACCCTGTGGCAAAACTGTAAATACTTGCTATCCATTCTGTGGCAACATGAACTATTTCCGATCTTTGTTGAACAGGATAGAAAGAATGCATTTGCCAAATCAGTGGCCCCAAACCGTGGGCCTGAGGCTGCATCGCTCTGCTCCAGCTAAGACACTTCATCTGGCACAATGGGTATTGACCAGGATTACTTCCTTGCAATAATCCATAGTCATTCTCTAGGGTCCATCCAGTTGCTGCAGGGTCAACACTGACAGATTAAACAGAGATATGATAGTGACTACATGTCTTCATGTTTTCAATGTTTTAAAGTGGCACTACTCTGCCACCCCCAACCCTGGAATGCAATGTTATTTTGTGGCTACTATATTGGCCTGGGGTAGGGAGTGGGCAACGTGTGGCTTTAGCTGCTCCACTTGGTCTTCCCTACTGTAACAACTCTCAGTCTACAGGACAAGGGAGGTAATATGAGATTTAGTCCAACTTCCAAGAATGCCAATCCCAGCTACACATTTGGAGATGAAGGAAATGACAGCCAGTGAGTCCATGGACCCAGAGGACTCTCCATAAGTTGGACTCTTTTCAGGAATCCATTTGCTCCCATTCTTACAGGAGGGGGGGGTCCTTCACATCTCAGGGTATCAGTTGACCTCTGACCTTGTATGCAACAGTCACCCAAATGTCTGGGTATCCCCTGTAGGAATGTTGGCCAGAGGGACTCTTTCTTTGACTTGCCATCTTTTTTTTTTTTTAATTTTTATTTATTTTTGAGAGAGCTGGGGAGAGACAGAGAGAGAGGGAGAGAGAGGGAACCCCAAGCAGGCTCTACACTATCAATGCGGAGCCCAATGCAGGGTTCAAACTCAAGATCTGAACCGAAGTTGGACACTCAACTGACTGAGCCACCCAGGTGCCCCTTTGGCCCATCATCTTTTTTATTTTTTTAATATTTTGTTATTTCTGAGAGAGAGACAGCATAAGCAGGGGAGGGTCAAAGAGAGAGGGAGATACAGATTCCGAAAGAGGCTCCAGGCTCCGAGCTAGCTGTCAGCTGTCAGCACAGAGCCCGACGCGGGACTCGAACCCACAAACCGTGAGATCATGACCTGAGCTGAAGTTGGACGCTTAATCGACTGAGCCACCCAGGCGCCCCAGGCCCATCATCTTTACTATGCCAGCTCAATGGTCTCTCCAGCACCGCTTGTTCCTGCCCCCCCCCCCCCCAAAGAATAATGCATGTGTTCCGTGATCATATCCTGCAGGGAGAGCACTGGGAGATCTGTCATG